AGAGATAGAAAGCACAAGAGGGAAGAGGGTCAGAGGGAGAAGCAGACTCCCTGCTGAGCAGGAAGCCCGATGTGGGGCTCGATCCCGGGACTCCAGGATCATGACCTGAGCCGAAGGCAGTTGCTTAACCAACTGAGCCACCCAGGCGCCCATGGGATCGTTTAAACAGAATAGTAACAAAACAATGCAATCAATGTGTCTCCTATGAATCAGTTCAAATAGTCTAGCAATGCCGGACACATGGTAAACTCCAAATAAACGTTTGTTAAATTATGTCAAAATCAGATATCTAAGTGAACACGTATTTGCTGTCAGAAGATTAGCCCTACAACCCTGAACTCATCAACATCTACAAGACCTAAAAGTTCTTACTTGATTTTCAGCCACAGGATAGGCTTCTTACTTACCTTCAGCAAGATACAAATAGCACAAGCCATGCCTACAGCACCAGTTCCAACAATGGTGATCTTACTCTGGGAGATTTTATCTTCCTCAATTAGATTCTCAATAAGCTTCTCCTTGATAGTTGACATTTTGAGAACCTGATAGGGATAATGAAATTTCAGTGGAATCAAATTCCCTAAATTGATCACTCTCATAGGTATCAATGTACTAACCACACTGAACATCTAAGGGCTTACCTACTGAGTCTGCAGAATGTTGGAGCCAAGTGTGGTGGGAAAGCAAAAAAAGGGGTGTGGAGAGGTAGAGTAGAAGCAGTCTACCTAGGGGTTGGGGCACCAATAAGCTTTTTTATTTCTCCCTGCCCTCAAACCATCATTTTTACCCCAGTACTAGGCACTCACAAATGCTTTGCTTGGCGCAATTTAGTACAGACAGCCGGAACACGCAACACACTAAGGAAGATTAAAAAAAAAAAAAAAAGTTACACCAAAAGGAAACCACCAACGGCAGTTGAGGTGCGAAGCCCGGTGACAGTTACACTCTGGAACCCCAACGCAAGAACGCTCCCACGCATGACTCTTTCGTCAGTACGCAAGCTCCGCCCACCGCTGGCCCAGGCGCAGGCGCATTGGCAGGCAGTTAACGACCTTTTGTTTTTGGGGGGCGTTTCCGAGTTTGTGCCCTAGCGTTCTCCGTGCTCCTGTGAAGAATTCTAGACAATCTTTATGAGTGTGCAAAGAGGGATTTGGGGAGTATGGTTTCATTTCCCTCAGCCAGCCTAGGCCTAGGACTGATTTTAGTGAATTTTTGGAAACCCTCATGACTATAGGCTGATGAGGGCCAGGCTCAAGGCCCTAGTAGAAAAAAGCTATCCTGAGAGCACCTCCTATTCTTAGCGCGATGCCATCTTAAGACGGCGTCTGAGGAGATAGCTTCCAAATTGCTTCCAGATGATTTACCTCTTTCTGAGGGCATGCTGAAGGGACCTGAGCCCCAAAGATGAAGAATTTAAGTAAAGGGTGGGCTTGGGAATGACCAACCTGAATGTGAGGAACGTACTTTTCGATGTACTTACCATACCCTGGTCTACACATTTATTTGCAGGAATTTAAAACATTATTATTGAGCTCTGTAACTTCAGGATGGAGTACTGAAATAAAGACTGAATTAGGGACGCCTGGGTGGCTCAGTTGGGTAAGTCTCATGACCCCGGCTGAGGTCATGATCTCAGGGTCCTGGGATCATAGTCCTCCTGCATATGGCTCCTTGCTCAGCAGGGAGCCTGCTTCTCCCTCTGCCTGCCGCTCCCCCTGCTTGTGCGCGCTCTCTCTCTCTGATAAATAAATAAAATCTTTAAAAAAAAAATAAAAATTGAATTAGTAATGAAAAGGAAAGGCCACATCTAGTTTTCTAAGGGTGGTTTTAATTTATACCAAGAATTTATAACCCACAGAAGGGGGCACAACCTCCTCAGTCATCTTTTGTTGAGTATTTGCATTTGAATCCTTTTCCATTTTCTGTTTCAAAGTCTGTGGTTTGTTTTTAATGTAGTTCACCCTGCTTAAAACCCGACCATGGATTTCCATTACACTTAACCAGTTTTTTAAAATTAATTTTTTTATTAATCTCAGAAGTAGAATTTAGTGATTCATCAGTAAAGTAACTAATTTTTACCACAACCTGAAAGACATTCATGATTTGGCCTCATTCTAGCCCTCCAATTTCATCTCAAGACACTCTCACGTCACTCCCCTCAAGCTTCTCAACAGCTTTTACTTGGCTCAGGACTTTTTGCTGTTCCCTATTTCTAGAAAGTTCTTCTCCAACCATTCTCAAAGTTGATTCCTTATTTTCAGTCTTGAGCATAAAGGGCACTTCCTCTAGCTTTGCTTGACCAATGTCAATTACCACCACCTCCCCGCATCTCTCCTATTTCTCTTATGGCACTTTTCACAAACTATCAGCCCCAAGAAACAGGTTACCTATAGCAGACAGGAGCAACAGCCACTGTTGGTCCTGTACTATCACTTGCTTGTGTGCTGACTTCCACAGTAACTCCGGTACTTGCACCTCATTTACCACTCAGTTGAGAGGTCAGCACTGCTGGCAGAAGGAGATGTCATCTTAGTAGTGACCAAACTCTTGATTTAGGTGAAAAAAAAAGGCTCTTCATTCGTATCTACCCAAGGCGCAGGGCAGGCCCTTGAGATCCACTGCCTGAGCGGGCTTTCTGGGTGGCTACAATCCAAGCTAACTTAATCATTTTGCTTGACTGCAGCAATCTAAATACAGAAGGGCCAAGATTTGTACATTCCAACAACTGCCAAAGTATAGTAGAAACACAGTGAAGAATTCTGAAAGCATGGCTTTCAAGTCCTGATATTTTTACTTTGGCAACATGGGCTTTAGTGGAAAAGATGTTGATCCATCTACATGTATATATATGTATAGATATATATATACACATATATATTCATCTTTACATATGTATGGATATATATATTATATGAGGATAACTATGTTCTGAACATTTCATTTGCTTCCCCCACTAACTGGCAACTTGTGTAAAATGGGACTAAGGCATACTAAATCCACTTCCCAAGGTTATTAAGACTAAAATGAGATCATATTACATTTAAAAGAATCAGGGCTTCTTGCAGAGCTGGCCTATTCTTTCCCTGGGGCAGGAAGATACAAGGTGCTCCCGGAACACTTTTTGCGCCAAAAAGTGAGGAAGGTTTACAAGATTAAATCTAAAAAAATCATGAAAGATTACGTTAATAAATCTTTAAGCATTATTTTTCAGGCATGTTGGTATTGGCTAATTTATTGTATTAGATATGAAATTAGTAAATGTAAATAAATTTTTTTTAAAAGACAAGTTGCCTCAAGGTTTACAAGAGGCTATGGCATAAGTACAGGTTTCTATTTGGAGTAATTAAAAAGTTCGAAGATTAGATAGTGAAGGTTGTATAACTATGCGTTCCACAGAATTAAACTTTAAAACATGAATTTTATGTGTAAATTGTACCTTAAGGCTTTTTTTAAAAAACCTGTAGAAAAGCAAATCCTATTAACCTACTTGTCAAGACTACATCATTTGCAGGGGTGCCTGGGTGGCTCAGTCAGTTAAGCCTCCAACTCTCGGTTTTGGCTCAGGTCATGATTGCATGGGTCCTAAGACAGAGCTCCACAGTTTGGGCTCAGTCATAATCTCATGGGTCCTGAGTTCTAGCTGTGCTTCGGCTCCACACTCAGCCGGGAGTCCACTTGAAGTTTCTCTCCCTCTGTTCCTCACCTCCCTCTCTCAAATAAATCTTAAAAAAGATTACGTAGTTCAGTCTTGTCCTTTTACAATTGCGACACACTTGGAAAAAAGCATAATTATTTCTCTTCACTAGCTCTCAGGAAGTAAACTGGTGAAAGATACCGGAGAAGTGATGGCAATAAAGTTGTCCTAGTTAACCTCTATTAATATTCAGGCCTGGGGGCTCCTGGGTGGCTGCTGTTAAGCATCTGCCTTTGGCTCAGGTCATGATCTCAGGGTCCTGGGTTAGAGGAGCCCTGCATCGGCCCCGTTCCATGGGAAGCCTGCTTCTCCCTCTCCCACTCCCCCTGCTTGTGTTCCCTCTCTCGCTGTGTCTGTCAAATAAATAAGATCTTTAAAAAAAATAGATTCAGGCCTGGATAAGGGTCATAGTTGTAGAAATATTTTGAGGAAAATCTAAAGAAAATTTTTGAGTGGACAACTACCAGGGCTATTTGGTTTAAAATTGTTAAGTGCCATTGTTACTTGCCTCCAGAGAGCAAAGGTTCTTAAAACCTGTTTCCCAGGCAGCCTGGGTGGCTCGTCTGCCTTCAGCTCAGGTTCTGGGATTGAGTCCTGCATCTGGCTCCTTGCTCAGCAGGGAGCCTGCTTCTCCCTCCACCTGCAGCTCCCCCTGCTTGTGCTCTCCCTCCCTTTGACAAAATCTTTAAGTACCACTGCTTATGTTGTTGGCAAATGGTATTTTTACATTCATGTATATAGAATGTCATCTACAGAACTGCAGGGTGCCAATTATGATTAGCACTACTATCAAGTTTTTTGTTTTTGTTTTTAAAGATTTTATTTGAGGGCGCTTGGGTGGCTCAGTTGGTTAAGCGACTGCCTTCGGCTCAGGTCATGATCCTGGAGTCCCGGGATCGAGTCCCACATCGGGCTCCCTGCTTGGCGGGGAGTCTGCTTCTCCCTCTGACCCTCTTCCCTCTCATGCTCTCTGTGTGTCTCATGAATAAATAAATAAAATCTTTAAAAAAAAAAAAGCTACATCAAAATAGCATGGTATTGGCATAAAGACATATAGACCAATGGAATAGAGAACCCAGAAATAAACTCTCACATATATGGTCAAATGATTGTTAACACGAGTGCCAAGGCCATTCAATGGGGGAAAAGAGAGTCTTTTCAATAAATCATACTGGAATAAGTGGATATTTACAAGCAAAAGAACGAAGTTGGACCTATACCTTACACCATATACATAATTAAAAATGGATCAAAGACCTAAATGTAAGACCTAAAACTATATAAAACTCTTAGGAGAAAATATAAGGGAAAAGATTCATGACATTGGACTTGGCAATGATTTTTAGATATGACACCAAAACACGTAAAACAAAAATAAAAATAGATAAATTGAGCGGTGCCTGGGTGGCTCAGCTGGTTACGCATCTGACTCTTGATTTCAGCTCAGGTCATGATCTCAGGGTCATGAGACTGAGCCCCATGTCAGGGTCTGTGCTGGGCATGAAGCCTGCTTAAAATTTCCTCTCTCTGGGTGCCTGGGTGGCTCAGTCGTTAAGCATCTGCCTTCGGCTCAGGTCATGATCACAGGGTCCTGGGATGGAGTCCCACATCGGGCTCCCTGTTCAGCAGGAAGCCTGCTTCTCCCTCTCCCACTCCCCCTGCTTGTGTTC